AGTCTCTGTTGCAAATGCACAGTCTTGTCTTCCAAAAATGTAAGATTTTTGGTATTTCTTATAGTAAGGGGCACCTCATCATCTCAGCAAAGCCAGCCAGAAAGGAGCTCACATCGACTCATCCTGCTCTCTGCCGACGTAGGTATGGACCCCGTCTGCAAAGGGAAGGGCAGAACCACACTGTGAAACAAAAGAGCTCGGGGTTTTCACGTAGAAATGCAGTTCCTGTTTCTAATCTACTGCAATGGCTGCAAAGGTGGCATCTCACGGGGCGAGTGTTGTCAGTGTGTGCCCGAGGGCGTGTGTGTGCCCTGCTCGGGCGTCCCGCTTGGCTCCCCTGCGCCACTCACCATTTTCACGTCTCTCGTTCTAGCTAGAGAGTGGGTGGAAATGGAAACAAACATCAGTGGGATAGTGAATCCAGCCAAAATTAAATACAGTGCAGACACAGACGGCAATTACATGACGTTCCTCATTCAGTTTGGGGCTCTCACCTCTCTTTTCTGTGGGAAGGCGGCTGTCCCACTCTGCCGAATCCCGGTTTCTCCTGCAAGAGCGTCCTAAGACGTGGGGAGCGGATACATGTAAAACAGTGCAGCGATCCCTTCCCCCCAATAATTCTTGGCTTTGGATTTTAGAAAGACCACAAACCCTTAGCTTATTAGAAGTAATCCTGATCACTCCTGTAATGATACACTACATTATATACTCTCCTAAACTTAATCATTCAATATCTCACTTCCTTCCCTGTAGGCATGTACTATTATATTTTACACATGGCTTCCAGCTGGTTTTCATTGTGGCCTTCAAATCATATTTCAGTACTGTGCGATTTAAGACCAGTCACTTTATCTTTTAAAGTCAACTTCCATCATACTCGTTTTCTTGCAAGTTTTCTACCACCGCTGGTTAATTTGTTTGAAAAACGTAGTTTATGGGGTTAAAGTCTACCTGAATGAACCTTCGTAAAACAGCATCTTCCAAAGCTGCTCTGTTCGGAAGCGCTGAGAATGCAGCCATGCCTGTAGAGTTTAAAAATGAAATCTCTTGAAGGGATGGAAAAAATAAGTCCTTTGGGCATGGAAGGAAATCTATATCTTCACATTTGATTTGAAAGTAGATGGGGAGTCGGTGAGGAGGGAGGGAAGGAGTGGAAGGGAAGTCAGCTCCAGATGGTGGTGGCTGTGAAGAAGGAGGAGGAGGAGGAGGAGGCGGCTGCCTCACCTGCGGCCAGGGAGCAGTGGGGAGGGGCAGGGAGGAAGGAGAAGGGAGCTGAGCATGGCCATTGTTTTTATCCCTTCTCTCTGAAGCCCACCCTACACCTGGTGTTCCCTGGTAGGTTCCACCATCATTTATGGGGTTTTTGTGAAGAAGGAGGAGGAGGAGGCGGCTGCCTCACCTGCGGCCAGGGAGCAGTGGGGAGGGGCAGGGAGGAAGGAGAAGGGAGCTGAGCATGGCCATTGTTTTTATCCCTTCTCTCTGAAGCCCACCCTACACCTGGTGTTCCCTGGTAGGTTCCACCATCATTTATGGGGTTTATCAGCAGTGGAAAATGCGCTGCAGCCTTTACTTCAATCACGGAAGGTCAGGGGGGTTTCCTTCTTTGCAGTACAGAAGCAGAGCAGCACTGACCCAAAAGATGAAGTGTTGTGACAGAACATGCACAACAGTGCGCAAAACCAGTGGAAATTTTACCCGCAGATTTATGAGCATAATAATGACTCCAAAATCAGAAAATGTGGAACTGCCGAAAATGGGTAGTTTCCTCTGTGAGTCTGGGGCGTGCAGAGCCGGACGTGAAGTAAGCAAATTGCCCAAATCAACCAGGGTGGTTTACAAATGTAGTTCAAAGCGAATATGTAACAAAAAGGTAATTTAGATTTTGTATTGTATCATGCATCTCAACAGTTGATCAGTTTTCCATAGAAAAGTGTGCTTTTTTGTATTATATAGCCCATATTAACAGAAGGAAATACAAAACTGATCACAGCCTAAACCTGAAGGAAATTCTGTGCATTTATCCATCTCTCTGTATATGGGCAATGTTGTGTCACTGAAATTCTTTGTTAATGCTGCTGGAAATCCGGGAGCAAGCCCCTAGAAGTTAGTGAAATCATGAGATTTATCTGTTCTATAAGAGTAGCTTTAGGGTTTGTGTTATTTGGGAAAACAGTAAGTCAAATAAAATGCATTCTTTTTTCTAATATTTTACACTGATAACCCTGGAGTTACGTGTTTTCTCTTCTGGAGAGGATGGAGAGGTCACTCCAGAAAAGGAAGGGTTAAGTAAAATTATTCTTTCCCTCCCGCTCTCAGCCCTCTCTTTGGTTGATTGCTTTATAGATGCTGTAGGCATCTCTTCATCTCCTTCAAATTAAACATTTTACTGCTGCTGATCCTGTATTGTTGGGTTTTTTTCATCATTATATTTGATTGGAAGTCTTGTAACATTTTTCAGGCTGGATCATTTCTCATGCTATTTGTCAACTGAAAAGGGAAAAAAAAGCCCACTTCCAACTCCAACAAGAATGAACTGAGTAATTCACACTCTTTCTGGCTGTGTTTCTATCTCTGTTAGTGGCTGCTTGAATTCCGCTGCTGATTAGCAACGCTACTTGAGGCTTTTCATATGACGCTGTCTGTAAATTCCCTGGCAGTTTATTTGTGGTATTAAATCCTTTTATTTGTGACTGCTCTGGGCCTTACAGTGTCAGGGGACAGGACCAGAGGGCACAACAGGGGAGATGATGTAGGTAGGGGCTGTGTGACATATGTATGGGGCTGGGTCTTTGGCTGGTGTCGGTGATCCCAGCTCTGCTGCTTTCAGCGCGCTCTGCTGATGGAGGTATGGATCCGACCCTTGTCTGTGACCCCTCTACTCGGAAACATCAGCCCTTCTCTTTGAAGACAACCCATGGACAAAAAGCAATCCTCAAAGAGCAGCTGAGCGATTCAGTTCATTAGAACATTATGCTCTTTTATTACAAGAGATGTAATAAAACATAAACCAGAAAATCCGTCATTTCCATTTGAGCTTCTCCTTTCCCCCGGCTCCTTCGCTCCATGTCTATGACACCCTGAGTATTGATGTGCTTGAGTGGAAAATGAATCTATTGGCACCGAGAACCGTTTGCAGCGCTTCTGCCCACCAGCGGCTCTTGCCAGCAGCGTGGCAAGCCCTGCCCGCGGTGGCACCTGCTTTGGGTTGACAGTGTGGAGCTGCTGTGAAGCTGCCTCCTCACCCAGGTGCTTTCTGTCACTGTCACAACCATCGATCGGCGGCGGTGGCAGTGGTGTGTCCGCACGTGCACGCCCTTACACAGGTGCCCGCTGCTCGTGGAGGCACTGGGGCCGTGGGGCCGTGTCCTGCCACCGTGAGTGGTGCTGAGCTTGCCCTGTAGCCCTTCTGGGCCGGCCGAGTGCCACCTCCTGCCCTCAGGGGCAGCAGAAGGAAGGTAGTCCCTTGGCCGGGCTGCAGCTCCAGTTGTTTTCACAGCATCTCCTCCAGGTTCAGCTCCTCGGCCACACGTGTGCGGTGGGCAGTGGCTGGGGACTTTGATGTGCTTTTCAAAACCTGTGATTGGAGATGGCTGATGTTATAAATTACTATGACAGCAACATTTGATGAAGGAAGTGAATAAAGGGCTCTTCGGCACAGAGCCTTTTTATTTATTTGCACAACAGGCTGATATTCCACGGTGAACTTCCCTCTTCCTGTAATAACGTGAGTGGTGCAGCGTTTTACTGAGGGCTCAGTAGGTGTGTAAAATTCAGTGCAAGTTCTCAGAACGCTTCCAGTATTTATCCTTATTTTTTTCCCTTCAGAGAGCTTTAATGTAGGGTTGATTTTCTGGATGTTACAGTTCGCAGCAAAGATGTTTTCTTTTCGGGTGAAGAGCCAGAATTCCCTCTTATTTGTGGAAGGAAATATTTATCCATATTGATTTTGTTAGCTCTGTAGTGTTGAGTTCTAATAATTATTTCCCTGCATCTGAAGAAACCTCTGGGCAAATACCGCCCTCAATCCTGTAGGGGATTTTTGCCTGTAATCTCTCTTGTATAGATTTGGTTTTAAAGAAAGCATGTGGAGCTCCTCTGTATTTCTAACAATTCGGAGCAGGTATTTTTTTTCCCTGGAATAAGGGCTACACAAGGCCCTTTCTTAGTCATTTTAAGTGGCTGTTAGGAAGATTAAGAGCTACATACACTTTCTTTAAACTCACCAAAAAGGAGATACTGCTGGTGAAAATCTGTTACAAGACTGAGAGGCGTGTTTGCCCGGAAGGTCTCTCAGAATGGAGGGCTGTAATATTTGAACTCAGAACTCCTCAACTAGTGCAATTAATACAGATGTAATACAGAGAAATCTGGTCAGGAGACACATTGAAGCCAGCTCTGTGAAGCGACTGAACTGACTACGGTGTCACTCGTCATAGAAGGGAAATCTTAACGCATCTCTGCACTTTTATTACTAATTCTTTTCTTCCATAAAGCAGCTGTGATGGATCCTAATGCCAAGCCATTATTCATGACAAAGTAGCACCTGACAGTCCCACATGTGACTAGGCCTTTGTGGTACTTGGCACCTTGTAGAAACAGTGAGAGTCCCTGGCCTAAAAGGATGAGAGGAAACAAGGAGCAGGGAGAAGGGTAGCAAAGCGGGATGTCTGAGATGGGACAGCTGGACAGCTACAGACCTTCTGACTTAATTTATTTTGGCTACTTTGTATTTCTTTTTATCTCTTGCATTTTGTATTTCTTACTTATTTTGTGGTTTTCTATTTATTTTGTATCGTTTGCCCTTTAAATCGCTTTCTCCGTTCAGTCTGTAGTTACTGGTGCAGCTGTCTCACAGGTGAGAAAGGCAATGGGAAATGACTATTTGTACTTTTCTTCACCAAAACAAAGCGGACCCTGTGTAAAGCCGTGTACAAGTGCCCTTATCTCAGGCACAGGGGGGGCAGCATGCACATGAAGTCTGTGTCTGTTTGATCTTGTAGGTGCTGCACAGACAGCAGTCCCAGCCTGCCAAGGAGAATTCCCCACCTAGAGAAGAGGCTCCTCCTCCACCCGCTGAGGACAGTTGTGCCAAAAAGCCAAGATCCCGCACCAAGATCTCCTTGGAAGCTCTAGGCATCCTTCAAAGCTTTATCCACGACGTGGGTCTCTACCCTGATCAGGAAGCCATCCACACCCTCTCTGCTCAACTGGATCTCCCCAAACACACCATCATCAAATTCTTCCAGAACCAACGTTACCACGTAAAGCACCACGGGAAGCTAAAAGAGCATTTGGGAACGGTGGTTGACGTGGCAGAGTACAAGGATGAGGAGCTGCTGACGGAGTCGGAGGAGAACGACAGCGAGGAGGGCTCTGAGGAGATGTACAAAGTGGAGGCCGAGGAGGAGAACCCCGACAAAAGCAAGGCGGCTCCAGCGGACATCGACCAGAGATAATGTGAGATAGGAATGCAGAAAGCAATACATTGGTCCAAGGATTTTCTGGTTTTATTTTTAATTTTTTTTTTCTCTTTTTATTTTTTGTTTGTTTGTTTCCGTTGCGCATGATCCATGTGCAAACCGAATGAATTCAGCATTGCCCGATCAGACATCGCCTTGACACAGACACTCAAGTGTTACACTTCCTACATGTGACTGAAGTAATCATTGTAATCACATAGGATTATGCCTTCATTAATCTTGCACTTATGAAAGGGACATCTAGCAAGTAAATGGGAAGAAAAAGTCCTATGAAATCAATGAAGGAAAATTTACAACTTTGTGTGTGTATATATATATTTACATAAAATATATATATATTAAAATTGCATGGGACGGAACTTTACAACCTGAAAGTATAGACTGTGAAATGAGTTCTTTAAAGATGAGACTTGTTTATGTATTAAAACCACTTCACAATGAGTTGCTTTGGCTTTTTGATAAACTGCCGCCTGCTCTCAGGGTGTGGTGACTATTTTTGAATTCCTATTTATTTTCTATGTTTATCCCTGATTTTTTTTTTTTTTTTCTTTATTATATGGCTTCCTATCTGGCAACTTGATGGGTAATTTTTGAGGTATGTATTTAAAGACGTAAATCAACACTGCCAAAAAAAGAAAAGAGGAAAAAAAGAGAGAAAATGGAAAAACAAATCAGGGCACCTTAAAAAGAAAACTAGTAAGTTAAAATACTTTAAACACAATGCACACTTAAAAGGATACAGCATGTTCCACTCTCCAGACAGTCTCCTTTCTGTAGTGAACAGATGAATTTTCATGGGATTCAGAACGACTAAAACTGAAATTCAGTGCATAGACTTGTCCGCTAACGAGGTCTTTATAGAAAGAGAAGAAAGATAATGTGTTGAGATTTGATGTATGGAATTCATACTATGAACCACATGTTACTGTGGATTTTATTTACCCGTTTTCAGTTTCAGATCTTAAAATTTGTAAGCTTCATTCTTGTTGTTGGTTTTTGTTTATACTGAGGTGAAACACACACACACACACACGTGTAAAGTTACACTGGGACACAGAATGCCACAATCCCAACGATCCCGTCCAGGTAAATGGCTGACAGCCCCAGGGTTTGCGTTGCTGCCCTCCCCTTCGCCCTCCTCGCCAGCCTCCCCCGTGTCTCGGGTTTAACGGGGCTTCTCCGTCCCTCGCGTTTTGTGCCAGCAAAATGAAGTGTTTTCACAGCGGGTCCCCCCCCGGGCTGCAGCCCACCCCCGGGGCGTGAGGCCCTCGGCCCCCCCACTGTGGCAGGGCTGCCCTGGCGAGCTGCCCCTCACCTGAAGCAGAGTTACTGCCCACTGACTCTTCAATGGCATGAGCACTAAAGCTGCCATCTCCTGCAGCCTCCGCCCGTCCCGAGGCATCCTGCCCGGAGAGACGCCGAGTAGCATTCACTTCCCACTTCCCTGCGCTGGTTTCTGAGAGCAGACCCCACCTTTGCTGCTCTGGCAGCCGGATTGATGTCAGGCGCCTGTTCAAACCGCGGTCGTAATCGCTCCAACGAGGCTTCTGGCTTCTTTCTTCCTTCTTTCACACGGGCTTTCCACGTAACCTTGACAAAGACCTCATGCAATATCACTTTGAAAGTTACTTTCTGTTTACTACACCAGGCAATGTAATATAACTGTTAATACTATTTATATATTTGAAAGGTATAAAAGGTAGGAGTTAAAAACGAAAAACAAACCTCTATGTGTAGATATTTACTCAGAACAGACAATATACAGGGAGAAGACGTTGCAATACAAGCTAATTCTAGCTGCTCAGTAACCTCTGGAGTTTTTAAGAGATTTTTTTCAGAACTAATGTTTGAAACATAAGAGTATCTCTGCATAAATTTCATATACCTTTGCAAACTGATGGTGGGTTGCTTACTTTATGCCCCTTTTGCTCTTCATCCTTTATTTCTGTAGTGTGCTGCAGCTTTAATCAGAATTTCAACGGTCGCTGCTTATGTTTCTCTCAGAGCTACTCTTTCAAAACTGTCTTCTTATCCTGTAGCTGAAATCACTCCATACATTTGAAAGGAAACTGAATTTTGCCAAGCTACGTAAGGTTGTTCATCTGATGATGGCATTAACATTTGGTATCTTTTACACTTCAACCAAAAATTTTATTAGGTATTTTTTCAATGCTGAGTCTTGCCTTTTTATTTTTAATTTCACTGCCAATTTTGCAGTGGTTCTAAGTGAATCTGTGGGCATTTTAGCCTGTGGTCTTGCCAGAACTTTGCGAATTACAATGCATATATGTCTATTTATTCAATATCCATCATATAATATCTATTTGGAGAAAGAAACTTTTCTTGTAGTGCCTCTTAACAAAGCACAATTTTCCGCCTTTTTTTGTGAAATAAAAAATAAAAAAAAAAACAAATTGTGTTTTATTGCGGTATCAACAATGTGAATAAGGATTAACATATTGTAAATGTTCTTTTTTCCATGTAAATCAACTTTATCTTTGTTATCACTAAGTGATAATTAATTTTTAACTTATGTGCATTGTTAGGCTGTTAGAATTTTTTGGTTGTTGAAATAAAACGCATTCAATAAATATGACTTAATTTGTCAAGTAATTTACTGGGCCTTTTTTCTTTTCTGCTGACTTCAAGTGGAACAAGGTCTGCAAAATGGAGGGGGCGTATCTGCATATTGAAAGAAGAGTTGATGAGTGTTATTGAGGTTAGAAAACCTGCATAAGCCCGGTGGGGTCGGCACAGCTGACAAATCTGCATCACCAAGGACTGATGTGTTGTGCCAGAACACAAGATTTTGTGTTTTCATGTGCACATATGTGTACATACCCCCGCTGCTTTTAATGTACATGTATGTGCACACACAGAGAGTCTCTGGCTCCTGGGATCAGGAGGAGGGTGTGGGTGCCATCAGCCTGTCAGAGAACATACTCAAAACACACACATAAAAATCCACTTCCAGTCTGCTGTCTTCTTTTGCTGGTAGATTTTTTTCTGTTTATAATTAAAAAGCCACAAATGACTGCGTGTCAGGAAACTTTTGGAGCACACATGTCCATGGTTAATGGACATAATAAAAGGCTTTATTATATTTATAGCAGGGCATCCTACTGAGTGTCTAGAGGAATGCCGGAAGGATTGATGTATCTGAGAAATGTGTGAAACGATTTTGGGGAGAATACAGATAAATGGAAAAAATTGCTCAAAATTCTTAAGCTGACAAAGTGGTGAGTGCCTGGATTCAATCCGAGCAGACAGATCATATACTGCACGTCAGACTCGAGTTGTCTAGGAACTGAGGTAGAGCAATTTGAAAAGCATTTATTTTTTCTGTAGTTCCAGTGCAATAGTTCTTGGTTTTGTGTCTTACTTACATCCTATATAAAATATCTATGCACTCTCTTGAGAAAAAAAATAAGGGAGGTGGGGAACCAACCACATCTTTGGATATCAAGCCACCTGCTTGTCACTTGAATTTAATCTGAGACCAAAATGAAAACATTTCTGTCTGCTCAGGGAATGATGTATGGGCACCTGGAAGCCGTGCGCAGGGGCAGTGGGCTGAGTGCTGCTCTCCCAACACTCACCCCTGAGGGGTCCCCGTTGCCCGGGCCCCTTCCGTGGGAGCAGTCAGCTGGCACTGCTGAATTTAGCAAACCATCTCCCCGCCAGAGGCACAGCCTGTGGGTATCAGCTCAGAGCACCTGGAGCTGGGCACAGCCGAGCTGCTTCTGCTCTGGACCATGGGCACAGCCCCGACACACAGGGCCGACAGGCCAGGCTGGGGCTGCGCTGGTTGTCATGGGGCTGGGAGGTGGCAGAGGGCACCAACTGGCCTTGGAAGCTGTGCCCGTGCCCCGGGCAGACACTGTGAAGATGCTGATGGTGTTGGACTGGGTGTCCTTTTCTGCCTGCCACTGGGACAAGAAACAAAAGTAACTCTCACTTCACTGATAGACAATTTTGTACATGGCTCTGTGTGTGTAGCTAAATAATATTTAAAGACACACACACACACATATTTTAATTGGGGGGAAAAATCCTATAAACATATGGGTTCTCCTTCCAAACAGTAAAAAAATCATTTAATAGCTGCTATAGCAGAAATATTTCTATTAATGCTTCTACTTCTCTATACTTTACATGCTGCTGCTCCTATTTGTTGTTCATGTTTTAGTCATCCAGACATATGTATTTCCAATTCCAAACCTGTGTGAGTGAAAAATAAACATTTTAAGATTAGTTTAAAATGGTTTTAAGATTATGAACATACTGTCTATTGCCTGAAGTTCATTGTTGCTTAGATAAAAGTATCCGCTCAATCTCTTCCCACTTACTTAGTAACCAATTATTTGCTCTAGACTAAATGGATTAGAACCCTTCATTGATGAAATTCTGTTTCTATCCTGAAGCTGTTAAACATGAAGGGATAAAAGCTAGATATATCTGACAGTGAGCAAATGGCATCCTAAAATCATAAACGAGTCATTACAAAAAATCTCCACTTACAATATAAAGTGCAGTGATTAATTAAAGATGCAGTTTTAACTTATTTATAGCCATTAAAAAAACATACCGGTTTTAACACAAAATAACACGAGCCAAGTCATCCAGGGGAGAGATGCTGGCAGCCTGAGACTTGGGGAGCGGGCAATGTGACAAAGCCAACAGGGAACGGCAAATGCAGGCCACCCTTTGGAAAAGTTCACGGAAGCAAGGATGGAAAGAGGTGGCTCTGGCCTCCCTGCCAAGACCCCCGTCTTTTTGCCCACACACAAACAGTTCAGGAGTGTGAAAGCCCCACCTCACTGCGATGGCAGGAAACCTGTGTGCTCACTCCATGGCTGCGGCGCAGCCGGCGGGGAGGCTGCCAGCCGGAGAGTGTGCTGCGGGTGAGTCAGCCCTACCTCCGGCAAAAAGATGCTACGGCTGAGGGACACACAGCAGCAGTTCACGCACAGATTTCTGCAGGCTTTCCCCTCCTTCCAAAATTTTTGGTTGCTGATGGCCAAATGCTGGTCTTGATGGGCTTGGCGGGCACGGTTCACAGGGGCCAGGGGGAGTAAAGGTGGTGGGAAGCCAGTCGAGACTCACATGCTGAGACTTGAGGAGCAGGCAACGTGACAAAGCCAACAGGGAATGGCAAATGCAGGCCACCCTTGGCTGGCCTGGCCGTGTGACAGGCTGCCCACCTCTGCCAGGGTCCCGGGCACACGCTGGGCACATCCCACCCCAGCCCTGCAACCACCACCTCTGTCTGCAAGGCAAGAGTCATCCCCTCTGTCCCACGTTAGTGCTGCAGGAGCTACAGCTGGCTCCTCCCATGAGAAGTGGTGTAACTCACCCTTCAGAAGGGGTCTGGTCTTGATTTGAAGACCTCGGGAGCTGGAAAATCTACTGTTGCCCTCAGTACTTTGTCTGAATGGCGGTTTCTGTCCCTGCTAAATCTGTACCATATTCTAAGTGGAATTTGTCTGGCTTTCCCTTCCTGGTTTTGTTTTTTGTTAGGCTTTTCTCTTCTGGGTGAAAGACCCAGGTACTGAAGGACCTTTTTTTTCCCCTCTGAAGTAGCTGTTCTGATGAGATGGCTTTTCTTGAGTTGAGGCCTTAGTGTTCAGCTGAGGCCGACTGTGGCTATTTCAACTAAAAATCTGTTTTGGCTAGGGACAGAGTTCCCCCTTGTACTCCTTTTGAGAGTGCATCAAAGTAGTAACAGAAAAATAAGAGTTTTAATAAAAAGGCTATTTGCTGCTTGTGAACCTTGAATGTTCACAGATACTACCTGTCACTGTTTAAGATACATTGTTTTATTCTGCATATATGCTACATAATTGTAGCTCTTCATTTCATCTTCTTTAACATGAGAAATGACACACCTTGGCATGGGGTGAAGATCTCCAAGGAAATGTTCTCAGAAAAGAGACTTTATTTTTATGACCAATCTTAATCAACTGTGTAATTTGCAAGAACAGAAATGCAGGTGCTCACTAGCAAATTGTTACCAGATGAGGTTCAGGAGAGGCACAGGGTGGGTTAAGTACTCTTCCCAAGACCAAGATCTGTAGGGCTGCCATAAGAGCAGGGATTATGGGACCAGCATGGATAGTAAGGTACCTGGGTCAGCACAGATAGGGCTCCTGCAGCCTGAGAGATGGGTCAGGTGCCTTCAGACAAAAATCAGAGCCTTACTGGAGTAAAACAGATGTCTTTGCTCCATCAGGTAGCTCAGAGATCCAGACACAAGAAAGATATTGGCAAGGGACGATGAAAAGATAATTTCTCCTTTGTCTCATGCAGTGTTTTCACACTCAAGCAAGAACAATAGAAGGAGATTTTGTCTTCTGGGGCAATGTTTGAAAGTGCTTCATGCCTCTGGCACTGTCAGGTCCTGGTGTGCATCCTCCTTCTAGGAATTTACCTGGCTAAGACCCAGCTCGGCTCCCTTGCTGGCAAGAGCTGTGGTGAAGCAAGCAATAGCCACTAGGAATGAGCCTGGTCTGAGCTACCAGAGCAAGATCTAGGATGAATGTGCCCTGTGGAGAACCATGGCAAGTGTCTCTGAGGGCCCCATGCTGCAGATCCAGGGAGGTTTCCAGACCTGCTCCCATTACAACACCAGACTAAATGTGCCACCAGCCAATGTCTTTTTTCTCAGTGACCCTGTGTGCAACTTTCAACTCCCCCTTTCTGAGGGACTTCCTTCAGGATGGAACGTGCCAGCCAAACACAAAGTCCACATGCATGGACCACAACACTTCTGAGACAAGAAGAGCTACAGAAATACAATATCCCCTGTGTGGATATTCAAAAGAAGATGGCAGTCTCAGCCTTGTTGAGGTGTTGTCAGCAGACCTGTGTCTGCCTGTTTCTTAACCCACGCGCTGCAGGTCTATAAAGCTCATGCTTGAATGGATGCGCTTCATGCCACAGTAGGATTGTAAAGTACAAGTTAAATGCTGACATTACCGCAAGGGGCAACCACTCCCAAAAAAGTTATTTTCTATTGCAGTTCTTCTCATCTGTTTCACATCGCATTTCTCTGTGCACTGTGGAGCTATTCAGGTAGCATGAAACGCTGTTGGAAATAACATTGCACCCTCCTCAGACACCCAAAACTAAGCTGTGGACCAATTTGTCCACAGTTGTACAAAGACACTGTCCTATTTTGTCATTGTGCTTTTCTTTTTTAAAGATGGAAGCGGGAGAAAGAGGCTGCTGGAAGGATACCATTCAAGGTTGCACAAAGCAGCATGATGCTGAGAGCAACAGATCTGCTCTGTCACAGCCTCAGAACATCTGCTCCTGGGTTGAAATAACTGAGCAACCTGAGTGTGAGCGGCAGTGCCTGAGTGGCAGCAACCACCATGAGGTCCCCAAACACATTTCTTACAATGAGACTTGATAGGTAAGAGCACAAGCCCAGGGCTTTGAGAGGAGAGGGACCAGCTCCTTATTGCCTTAACAGACTGGTCCTTGCTCACACAGCCTTTGTCCATCTTTACCATGTGATGAAAGTACATGCTACACTCATCACAGTCTCAGCTGTTTATGATCAGAGATGACCAGAAGAAGCATCTGGCATGT